CATGTACCAATGAAAATTATTATGAATACTATCTGCCCATCTCAATAATCCTATCAATAGTTTTTTCTAAACCTTAATGCTGTCCAAGTATTTTCAGGAGAAACTTGACTGCTGTGTATGTGAAAATTCAGCTCGTCTATTCTTCAAAGTTACTAGTTTTTTTAGGCAACATTGTGTGTGAGGAAAAAGGCATCATTGCTGCCAAATGCAGTTCTGATTAACTTTAAATTTATATAGTTTTATACTCCAACATCTGGATTTAATTTTAATACAATTTCTTCTCACTCATAATTGCTGGACCACCAGAGATTTGAAACAAGTTTTTATAGAAATTTATAACAGAATATTTTGAATATTTCATGGTTGTAATTAAACATCTACAGCCTGTTTCACAGAGAAATTACACTAGAAACTGCCCTTTCCACCACCAAACTTTCTCACCCAAATTTTTCTAAACTTTTTTTTTATATTCTTCAATATTTCTGGAAATGAACTCTAATTTTGGAGCCAACAGACACAATTTGAGTCAATTTTCAGTTTTTACTCAAAAACATTTGGCTATTTTTGTCCCAAGGAAAGTGCAGACAATAAACAGGACTATTTTGTGAATTTGTGATGAAACGAGAAAACTTGTGGTGAAATGGTTAAGCAAGCATAAAATGGAACAATTTGTTTTTGAATTGAATTGAAAATAATTTAATTTATTCACTTAATTTACAGGCAATATTGTTAATATTGATGTTTGTGGATAGTGTTGTGTATGATATCACACTAAATATCAATGTTTGTTGATTCTATATAGCTATATTTACTGGTCAGATGTTGGTAATGATAATATCACCGCTGCCATTGGTAAATCATACATGGATGGAAGTAATGTACAAATAATTATCAGTACAGAGATCTCTAAACCAGCTGGATTAGTTATTGATTATTCAGGTAAAAATATGTGAATTATAGCAGTTTTTGACTCCCGTGTGCGAAGCACAAAAGGGAGTCTTTGCA